TTCCTCTTTCTTGCCCCCAAAAAAACCTTCAAGTTTCACGTTTGCCCCCCTCACCCCTTTAAGATGTGCACAGAACAACATCCTTGATGCTTTCCTCAGGAAACCTGGTTGGATGTTTTGCCCCTTCCTCTCTCGTGTTGAACCCTAGGCCTGAATGATTCTTTACAGTCCCTGAAAATTAAAATTGGGTTTGCCCCCTTTCTTGTGGCCAGCTTAGCCTGAATGGGTCAGCAGAACCTGTTGGAGAAACAGCAGAACCATGTTGGCTTTACGGCAAGCATTTGAATTTGGTTGGTTGTGTTTGGTTTCCGAAGGAAAACACATATGGTCAATTCCAAAAACGGCATTTCTGTCCACTCAAACATTCAGATGCAAAATCCATTGTGCAAGGCAATATTCATCCATAGTTTGTTTGTTTTTTCCCGGCCTTTTGAGGTCTGATTGGAGCCAGATCATCCCCCCATCCCACCACCCCCACCATGTTGGGTCAAATGGCCAGCAGTGCCCCTGAGTTGGGTTTACATCACTAGGTTGTAGAAGATACTGGAAGGTACAAACAGCCACCTTGATCGCTGGACTTGCATTTTTGTCGGTAAACCACCATCCTTGATAGCAAATATACTTTTACCCTGACTCTGACCCTGGCAAACATCAATAAATTGTATGTTTCAAAAGAGAACCCAAAACGATGGTGTTTCTGTTGGGATTGAAAAAGGTACCCTTTGAAGACCTATCAGTGGTCCAAGTGCTTTCTGGGCAGGTGCCGTGTTCTCTTTTACTCTGAGACCCCCCTCCCAAAGACCATCCCCAAAGGTCGGGCGAATGCCAAGCTTCCACGGCAACCTTGATCGCTTTGATGGACCCTGCAAATGAGTTGAGAGCTGCCTCAGCAACTTTGATGCTGGCCGCACACTCCTCCTTCAAAAGCGGGTCCTGCTCGATGTGCGCACTGTCCCCTTTCGCATACAGGGCTTCCATGTGCCCCTTCACGTTCTGCAGGGCATCCTTGCTTTTGGTCAGCTCGCTGGAGTAGCCCTTCCTCATGTCACCCGTCCTTGGTTCACAAGCTGAATTTTGTCAGGGTTCATTTTGACCGGCTGGGTTTATTTTGATCGGCTTTTGAGGGTGCCAGGATTCATACAATTTGAGTTGCTAGCACATCTGGTTAACATGATGCAAGGCACAGGTTCGCCTGGGCAAGCTTGTTTTCCCAGCACACAATCTCCGTGAGCTTGCTGCTGCAAACTTGGATCTTTCCAGACAGTTGCTTGCTGACTGTAGCTGGTGTTTTTGCCTTGGCCTTTGCTTTCGGCTTCGGCGCAGGTGTTGGCTGCGGCTCCGGCGGGCCAGGAACTCCAGAGGCGGATGCAGGCGGATCCGTCGAACCGGGCCAACCAGAGCTTGGCTTCAAATTCCCGATCATGGCTGGCCTAAGATCACAGGGAGTTTCAGTTTAGACCAACTAATGTCAGTCCATGCATAACCCCCCTAAAGGTCCAAGTGTCCTTTATGGATAGTCATCCTTCCAAAAGGTGGACTCCCAAAAGGTGGAGGAGGGATTGAAGTACTCATATCCAAATACCTGGGTCCCCCTCAAGACCTCATGAAATGAGACAAGGGGCGCCACGGCTTGGGTCTGTTGCTGGTTAAGCTGGTTACTTGCAGAGAAGATGGCCTCCGTTTTGTCACTCTCCTCATCTTCAAACTCCAGGGCATCGAAGACACGGAAGAGCTGGTGCTCCTGAGAAAATCTGCTGAGGAACGCATTCTCGTTTATCCACATAAGACACAAATGGCCTCCTGGCCAAGAAATGGAGTCTGGTTCGATCGAGGGGGCCATTGGCCATTGCAAACAAATCGCGGCTTAGCATGCATGCTGTTGTCGTTTGATAAAGCTTCTATTTAGAAACCCTCGAGCTCAATGGTTCACATTGTTCTTTGGAAAAGGGAGTTGGCAAATAGGATTTGGGAAACCAGGGCAATCCCACATCCCCCTTTAAACATATAGATGCCTCATCCATCAATAGAAGAAACAGGCTCCTCTGATTCAGGCAGGTCCGGATGCGCAAGGACCCAGGGTTTCTCGTCAGGGCCCTTCTTCGCCTGGAGATCCAGCTTCCTCTCCCTAATGTCCACCGCCAGGGCCACCCCAAACGTCGCTTTGAGCTCCGCAAACGTTTTCATCACCATCCTCCCCCGCCGCTTCTGTTCGAAGGTCTTCACAGAATTCAAGAAGAGCGCACTTTGAAGCCAGTTTTCTTTCGACTGAAGCCCGTCTTCATAGAGCTTGCCAATAGTGGCACGATCTTAGTGCAACAGGGTTCTGACTTAAAAGCGCTTTTTGTCTTCTTGGCTCATAAATTAATTCAAAGTGAAGCCAATCAAGCCGGGACACTGTACCGCTTGCCCTTAGCAGCCTCCACCACCACACTGGGGCAGGTCGGGCCTTGGTGGCCCAAGAACATGAGTTCAAGGAATATTTTTTGTGGGCCCGGGAAAAAACGTGTGTTAACCAAAGGCATTTGAGCCCTGTAGCCCTTCGACCAATTTATAATTTGTTTCTTTGGGCCAAGCAACTGTCAAAGGATCGGTTGAAGCGCATCCGAGCATTGTGCCGCAAGCGCTTGTGCTGCTCCTCGAGGGTCTCCAATTTGCCGTTCGGGCCCACGTACAGGATGCTGCCATCTGCTTGGAGCACGCCTCCATCTTGCTCAGATCTCAGCACCTGCCCGAAGCCACGGGAACGAAGCCACGGGAATGCAGTGTCCGGTCCGAGGGTATAACCTTGACAACGATGGTATCACATTTAATTTGGCTTGTTCCCAAATCGATGTTTCAATGGGCCAAAAAGGTCTCCGATGCAGAACGATAGGATGTCCACTCGAGATCAACGGAACCGGCCAACTGCTAAAACACTTTCGATTTTTTGGCGAGGGCCCGAAAGGTACCAGTATGTTCTTTGCCCGAAACAGGAATATGTTAACCCCTGGACAACCCCAAAAAGCGGAAGACAATACTCCAGCCCTTGAAACCAGTTTAAACCGGGTTCCCTGGAATGGATTCATTGAAAAGACCTTTCAGTCAATGGACACTGCATATCAATGCGCAAATATACATATATATATATATATACATATGTACATGTATAATGGATATATATATATATATATACATATGATATATATATATATATATACATATGTACATGTATAATGGATATATATATATATATATGTATATATGATATATATATATATATATATACATATGTACATGTATAATGGATAATAATATATATATATATATGATATATATATATATATATATATATGCAGTCGTGGGTGTATGTGTGTGTGCTATCCTTTCACCAATCCCTTCTTTTTGTGAAGGAGGGGCGTGCTTCTGACCAAAGACGAGTGGATGATGATGGGCGCTTTCTCCTCGACCTGAATGGCGTGACGGAGAAACAGATGAAAGGTCATTGGCGAACCGATCAGAGATCGACGAGACATCAGTCCGCAGGTCAGCTGCCTGTCAGCTAGCTCTGCAATCGAAGATTGATACGACAATCTGCAGGCCGTTACCTGCCTGCACGTGTCCCGGAACATCAATGCGACAAGCCGGGCGTCTTCAAGCTCCAACTACCACTGATGTGTGTGTGTGTGTATGCATGTAACTATTAATACGCAAAGAGAGCACAATATGATGCACATGTGATAGTCTATACACGTCACAACCCCTTATAAAACATGTACTGAGCATCTGACAAATGAAACTAGACCCCCCAACTCGAAAGTACTAAGTTCAAACGGGGAACTCTTCAGGGTTAACCGATGCGATGACTGTGATGCGATTTTAGATCGCCCTGGTTCCTTCTTCGGGGTGGAGGGGGGACCAAACTGGTTTCTTATTTGGCCGACCCTGATGCGTTTAAAGGGGGGGGTTGGATCGCCCTTTTCTTGAGGGTGGACCTCGGTGCTTTTAAGGCTTTGGGGTGATTTCGGATCGCCCTGGTTTCTTTTTTGGGCTGGACCCTGATGCTCTCATGGTGGATTTTCAATCGCCCTGGTTTCTTTGGGGTAGACCCCAAAAAGAACCAGCATGCAAAATCCCACCTCAAAGAATATGACTCCAACTGCAAGCTAGTCTTCGAAAAAAAGGGATACCTCAAAACACAGACTGCAAATTTGCTGTTGCACCTGGACTACACCTGCTGTACAAACCCCATCCCTGACAATGCCTAGGGCCGGGATTTGTTGGAGGATACGTTTGGGCCAAATGGAAAAGAACCACCAATTGGATAGATTCTAATGCGCACAGCCCGTGCGATTTGAAACAATGCAGATTCCGGGATTTTTGGTACTCCACTATATCAACCCAACGATGCCTCCAGCTGTGTGGTGTCCTTCCTCTGCAGAACAGCCTTGGCAGCATCAATCTGCATCGCCGGCACCGACGCAGGCACTGCGGCAACAGCAGTGGCCTCCTCCGCTGGCCCTGCGTCTGGAAGAGGCGCCTGGAGAAGGGGCAGGGGCACCAGACCAGGGGCTGAACACTTTCTCAAATTCAAAATATATGTGTTTGGTTCCATTCATGCTGCAGCGGAGCCCTTGTTCATTTCAACCGATGTTGGCACACTAAAGCCATCGATCCACGACAACTCCAAAGAAACCTTTAAAGAGAAAATAATGGGCCCGGGTGGATTTAAAGTGCGCAATGCTCCATCATGCTCCAGCCCAACAGGCGCTTAAACAGTTTGTTTTTCACTGCTGCTTCCAACATAACCTAGTCACAAGTGCAACTGTTGTAGTGATTTCAACCCTTGCACATCCCACCCAAGCGTGTTGTGAAGAGATCGGTCCAGTAAGGGGAGGGCAACTTATCAAGAATGCAGTACTAGTGTTTAGTCAGCAACGCACTACAGCCTGCCCATTCACCAAGCCGTCCCATATCCAAAAAGCAAAACGATCCTACGCGCAAGAACGTCTCGAGCACAGTGCCTTGATCTGGGCTTCCAGCAAGCTCATCATGGCAGACTTGGCCTCACTGTCCGGCAGCATACGGATCTTCTCGAAGGCCGCTTGACGTGGGCTCGGAGGGCTCATAGCTCCGGATGGGGCCAGATCAGGCTCCTCCACGGTCAGGCTTGCAGTTGGCTCCTCCACGCTCAGGCTTGCAGTTGGCCCCTCCACGCTCAGGCTTGCAGTTGGCTCCTCCACGCTCAGGCCAGTTGGCTCCTCCACGCTCAGGCTTGGTGTTGGCTCCTCCACACTCAGGCTTGGTGTTGGCTGGTCCGGCTCAAAAAGCGCTTCCAACTCACCCATAAACTCGAGCTCCTCGGCGTTCTCAGGCTCAGGGTCAGGGCACCCTGTGTCACGATGGTAGGCCACTATGGCCTTGCGCGCCAGCTTCTCCACCTGCAAGCCAATCTTCTCGATCATGCTCTTCACCTTCGCATTGCCTTCGGTCTCCTCCGCGACAATATCTCCCATTTTCTTATCCTCCCACTCCTCGAGGCCTCGCAGCTTTTCCGCAAGATCTTCCGGATTTAGGCGCTGCAGGCTCAGCCTGCACTTCATCTTGGCCACCGCGTTCTGCATGGTCGTGAGTTTTCTCTCATTCTCCCCGCTGAGGCGCTGTAGCTCTTGCTGCTGCTTCGCGAGGTCCTGCTTGAGCATCCAAGTCTCGTGAGCCTCAGCCCCAAGCTCAGCGTCAGCCACGTCAAAGCCTTTGCCAGCCATGCCCACCTTCTCGATCCAGCCGTGCACCTCCTTCTCAATGGCCGGCCACACATCGGGCCCCTCCATGAGCAACAACGGGATCAAGCTCTGCCACAATGCCAGCTGCTCCCCCCCGAGCTCCATGTCCAGCAAGTCATCACGGGAGGGCGTTTGCCCAAGACGAAGAGTGGTCATCGTGTCTGGCCTGCCGAAGCTGCGGGGTTGTGATCCTCAGCACATGCAGACATGGGCATGGGGATTCAGCCCCCTGCGAAAAAGCCAAGGCAAACAAATAACCGCCTTGCAAACAAATAACCGCCTGGAGCCAGGTTTGCAAATCGATCACTTGCAACTTGATTTTGAAAGCGATATACAATTTCTGATGGTGCCTCCAATCGATCTGGCAATCTACACTGTGACTAAGACCCAGGGCTCTGTGGTTGACCCTTGCAGCCCTGTAGGGTTTCTCCAGAAAAGGCAGGAAACAGTTTTGTTTGTTGGGGTTTAGGTACTGGGAAGCCCTTTCTTGCCAAGAAGCCAGTCAACTGGGAATCCCACCTGGTCGGCTTGGTGTAGGCTTCCATTCCTGGGCAAAGGGTGAAGGTTGCGAATTGCATTCCATTCAATTGCAAGAGGGTCGAATAGGCTGAGAACGCGTTTACACTTGCAAGTTTCACATGTGCTGATTTTCATATATATATATATATAATATATATGTATTATATATGTTATTGTATGCACTTGCATGTCACGCATGTGAGATGAACACATCCGCCTTCCTCACTCCCAACCAAGCCGCGCGAGGCCAACTCCTGGGAGTCGTTCTGCTCAGCAGGATCCGCTGCAGGAGCATCCGGCAAAGGCACCTAGGATGCTGGGTCGGTAGGCGTACCCTTTTGAATCCCATTCAATTTTATAGGCCCTTTATTTTTCCAACCTCGACATCTCAACCGGGGACCACCTGACTTTGACCACACTGTGCTTAGAATGTGTGGGTCCGTCCAAAGAGGGGCTTTCAGATGTAAAGTTGCCAGCCAAAGTCCCATGTTTCAATCAAGGCGCCAGATCTGGAGCCAGCACTTCTGGCGCCTGTGCATCCAACCCAGCAGCACCATTCCCAGTGCCTCGGATCGTCAGCAAGCACTCCAACTTGTACCAGTCTAGATGTGCAACTTTAAAGTTGCATTCAGGTTTTGTCCGGCCTTATTCCCCAACAGCTGAAAGCTTTGGGGTCTCAGCAGATAGATCTGGGGTGGTCCAGGGTTCCACAAGGGTTCCACAAGGGTTCCACAAGAGTTCCACAAGGGTTACACAAGATTTCTACAAGGGTTCCACAAGGGTACGGTTACACAAGGGTTCCACAAGGGTGACACCAGGTTTCCACCAGGTTCCGCGAGGGCTGTGGGGGGGTGCAAGCACTACTAACAAGAGCACCGCCTGTTGGGGATATCACCAGAGCTTATTTTCAGGTCTTAATTGCAGGATCTAGAAACATATGGGTCCTCCATGCTTCGTCAACTCCTCCAACACATCCTCAACATGTTTTGTGGTTGGACTCACAAGTTGGTCAATCAGATTTGGAACCTGTCCCTAACAAATTATTCAAGGCGCCCTTCATGCCAGCAGTGCTGTTCTCCTTGTCAGCAGTGTCGCAAGTCTCCTGAATGGTCTCCGGCTCTGGCACGCTTTCCAGCACCGTTGTCACCTCTGCCGGTCGGTCCCCTGTCTCCTCAGCGATGTTGGCGGCGCATGTCTTCTCCTCCTTGGTGTTTGGGATGAGCGGTCGGTCCCCTGTCTCCTCAGCATTGGCGGCGCATGTCTTGTCCTCCTTGGTGTCTGCAATGGAGGGTGTCAGCGGTCGGCCCCCTGTCTCCTCAGCGTTGTTGGCGCATGTCCTGGCCTTCTTCGCGTCTGGGATGAGCAGCGTCAGTGGTCGGTCCCCAGTCTCCTCAGCGTTGGCAGCGCATGTCTTGTCCTTCTTCGCGTCTGGGAGGCTGAGCAGCGTCACTGTGCGGTCCCCAGTCTCCTCAGCGTTGGCGGCGCATGTCTTGTCCTTCTTCGCATCTGGGAGGCTAAGCAGCGTCACTGTTCGGTCCCCTGTCTCCTCAGCCGTGTCGGCGCATGTCTTGGCCTTCTTGGCGTCTGGGCTGTTGATCGGCGTCGCCTCTGTGGTCGTGGAAGCAGAGGCTCCCTCATGTGTACTGTTCGTGTCCTCCAGCACAAGCACGTCATCGCGCTGTCTTCTCCTGGTAGGTGTCGCCGGCAGCCGCTTCAAGGGCTGAGTTCCGGAGATGGCTCCTTAGATGTACACATTTAGAACATTTGTATACACATGTCGCAATGCAGAGCTTTAAAAATCGTGTTTTAGCTGAAACAAGTGTCCCCGTCGATTGGCCAACCGTTGTTCAATGCACATCATCTCCTTTGCAAAGAACTCCTCCAGCGACTTCTTTGGGTCAGGAGCCTTGCATGGGCACGCTCGGGGCCCAAGTGCTGACAGTTGATGCGCTCGGGGCCCAAGTGCTGGGGTTTGGGAGCAAGTTGGGCTCTAAATTCGGCCTCCCCATGAAAAAACACATATCTATTGCCGGCACGTAGCTTCCTCCTGCGTGCTCGGACGATCTTGAGGCGCTCGGCGTCGGAAAGCCGGTCGCATGTTGGCCTGGAAGATCGCTAGAAATAAAACTAACGCAAAGTAACGCAAAGTAACGCAAAAGTAACGCTCAGCTTGTCATGAGCACGGACTTTGAACGCAAAGTAACGCCAAAGTAACGCACGCCCCTGTACTATGATGTGTTGCGAAATCAAGCATTGAAGTCACAGTGTGCACACTTTCAAGAGACACTTTAAGCCCTTGCAGCTAAGTTCCCCCGAATCGACTCCCATTTTGTGGCGTTTTAAGGGCCCAACCCCACACACAGTTGTACAGGGTGTTGCAGGTTGACACCCCAAAGTGCTCAATGGGTTTCATTCTTTAAATGCAGGGGAAGTATAAGCACCACTTGAACAAAAGGACATTCTGGGCACCATGGGCCATCCAACAACCCAGTTTCAAGGCGAAAAGTTTGAATGCTTCACAGGTTTCAGCCATTTCCACTAGGCAGGGAAGTCCAGGAACGCTTGCAACATTGTACAAGGCACATCGACAATTCAAGGGATCAGCCTCAAACTTGTATCCACTTCCATCTTACTGCAACACCTGCTCAATTGGTCCAGCACTCCAACAATTCCAAGTACATTCTAAATTTACGGATGTGTATGAAGGGTCAAAATCGGGTCACAAACAGTTGCACAAGACTCAATTGTGCTTGCAAATTTATTGTTTGGTCCATTCAAAGGCATTGCATTCAAGAGGGATATTGTCCATTTCCTAGGAATCACCGGACAACGGATGATAGTGGCGGCTGAGCAGTTGAAGCTGTTTCACACCTGCGCCCCATTTTCAAGTTTTCTGTTCTTATGTGTCTGGAATCAGCGCATGCGCAACTTGCTACGTTCGGAGACACGAGACCCTGCAATGGCTGCTGGAAACCAGGTGAGAGTACGGATGATGCATCCCACCTCCCCCCATGCGAATGCATGCTGCAAGACCCTCACATGGGCGCGGGCAAGACGTTGCCACTCATCGGTGCTGAAGAACCAGTACTCCGAACAAAGGGATAAGCTTGCCATATTTCCGAAGAACTCGATTGCCGAGAACTTGAATGACGCGAGGTGTCTAAATTGAGACCCTCGTGCCTGGCCTCCATCTTCGACTCCAAGCGCAAGCTGGCCGCTCTCGCAAAAGAGCTTTCAGCCAGTACCCGCGTCAATAAATGGTTCCAGTTCCAGTACCGGTACCAGGGATCAAAGCCAGCACAACTAGGCAAGGGCCTCCCTTTTTAGCTCACAATAGCACAAGCCTGGACCAAACCCGTTTCGAGCCCTTTTGACGAATGATCAATCAGGCGCAGGGTTCTAAATCGATCCAGATCTGCATGATTAATTATTTTCCAAAATCCTCGGCCTAGGGGCAAACAATTTCATCCAGTGGTCCATTGTCAATCCGATTGTCAATCCCAAATTTGACAGGGTGCAGTTGTCACTTTGAGGATACCTTTTGAGGCAGTATCCCTATTTTTCGGGTCACCGAAGTCTACTGGGAGTCCGCATGATGAAGCTCGACACTTGCACTTCATAAAGCTTGCGAGGGGCTATCACGGCGGTCAATTTTGCAACGAACATGCCCAGATCTTATGTGATGATTCCGAATTTCAGCAGGTGCGTAGGGCCTCCGGCAGCCACGCATGAAATTTCACTGGCCATGCAAATATTCGGCAGCCAAACTGACCAGTGTGCTGCAAGAAGTGTTCAAGCTAGTACTTATGGGTTCCAATGTCGCAGTAGCATGCGCAATATGTACTTAACGTTAGAGGGCTTCCTCCCTTCGAATTCGGGATCCAGGTTTTGTCCATCCACGTGTTTAAAGTGCATGTCCTGTGATCAGGCCACCATGCTAGCATTTACACTTCCTGCATTTGTTGCCAGCGATTGCGTACGGCTTCAAAAACTGCCTTACTAGGCCGAATCTGAAAAGGGATCAATGGGTCAGGCACCAGGTCGCCCTTGGCAACAGCCCGCCCCATCAAATCAACAAATGGTTCCAACTGGGCGTGCTCCCAATCAGACGGGGGCTCCTGGGACTCTCGATCACAGCATGTTGCAATTGAGATGTAACAACGTCAGCTTAAGTTCACGGGGGTTTCAAAGGTGGTTTGATGTGGTTTGGGGAGATACCGATAAAGTCAAATGGGACGCGTTTTGCCCTCCCCCAGATCTTCCCGTGCCAATCACGCCAGCCCTACCCCCAGGGCCCCACCCCCGGAGCCCCAAAAAACAATTCGATCGATTGGTTTAGAAAAGCTGCTGGGGGCAATTTTGAGTTTCCATTTGCTTTTTGATTTTGTAAAACTGGGGCCCCTCTTTTGAGAGTTTTGTTGGGTGTCTATCTTTTAACATCTTCCAACTCAAGATTAATCTTGGGCTTTCATAGGATTTACGACGCAAGTGATTTGGGGGGCTGCGGATTCAAGAGAATTAAGCTTCTCCCATAAACCAACGAAAGCTGGGAAGGGAACATTCGATTCTAGCAATCGACTTCGTTCATGACCTTCTCAAAATACTAGACCCTTTTCACCGGCCCATCCTTGACCCCCGAATCTTGAA